GCTTTGTTCAGGCTTCTGGCTTACATGCAGGACACTTCTTTGTTTCCCATGATGTGAGGTCCCAACAATATGTTAGTAGGCGGTTCGCTTTGCTTTCCACATGCTTTACCACGTCAGTATTGTGTTTTCCGTTTTGGCGAGAATCAGCTGGGTCGATGTCTGCATGTCTTCCATGTTGAAAGAAGCCCTTCCCAGCACTTGCTGGCTATTATAACCCTAACTACCAAACCCAGCCCAAACTCAGTTGGAGTCTACTCAGACCATGACTTAACCAATTTTACCTAGATTTTTTTGTCACCCCAATTATTAACCCTGCGTCAATGATAGCAACACTTTTAAAAACTCAATGATTGAAAGCTGTCTGCTAGTTTTAACAAGGTATTGTTTTGTTACTTTAATAAACTTGCTATATATGTTTTTTTATTCAAATTAATAACTTTTACTGCTTATTTTTTAATGGGTTGTAACCTCAAATGAACATGAACCACACTCTCACTATGCCTCCTATGTAAATAAAATGGGTGGGATTTGCTTCGTAACGTTCAATTTATATTTATTGTTTTTTTACCAATACTCAGGTATACAGCTTCTTCGTCAGTCTCACTCACAGCAACTTATGTGACCCACATGACAGAGGGACGAGCGAGAGGATGTGTGCATCACAGCGCTCTGCAATCAAATTTTAAATAGGCCTAGTAAAAGAATAAAAAAATCAATATGTGGCGGTCAGCGTTGATATTGTGGTGGGCCGCCACAAATAAATGAACGTATGGGAAACACTGGCATTTATTTATGTAGCAGGATGCAGGGAAATTACACCATTGTTTCAGGATGGTGCCAAGGTGGCACAAACGTGTAAGCAAGTGTAAATAATGGTGTCAAAAGTCTGACAGGTGAAGAGTGGAGAAGGTGGACCTTGCAATGAGGCCAACTTAAGGAGGAGTGTAAGAGGGTATATAATCTATAAATGAATGTAATACTCTGTATTGGATTTTCAGTAACCTTTCATTGCATGGAACTCTATTGGACTCAAGTGTTTTATTGAGTTGACATTTAAAGTGTTTGAGAGGACCTGCAGACATTTGACCCAGACAAGGGTTTCTCTCCAACAGTGGCCTATGAAAAAGGAAGAGGAAGAACCCATGGACGAGAGGTAGGCAGAAGCCAAGGGATACACAGAGGGCTGTTTCAACCACTGTGCCCCCCTCATCAGGCTAAAGACTGTCCAAAGAATCACAGAAATGGAATGGCAGAGACACACTGACAGTGCGTGGAGCTAGAAAAAGGTTGGGGTCCAGATGAGCAGCATGACAGAATGAACACCCAGACAGACTGCAGAGCATCACAAGAAAGAACAGCTGATTAAAGAAAACACAATAATGCCATGCTGACACATACAGGCTACAAATCTATGCCTATACACATTAAAAATCTCAGGACAAGAAGTTGCCTTTTTGTAGACTCAGGAGCAGCAGGATGATTTATTAAAACATCAGATTTAACTCCAGTTCCAACATTGAGTAGTAAAACACCTAAAAGTTAATCCATCTCTGGTAACAAACAAATGCAGTAGTCAAACAACATGACGCCGTATTGGTAGAACCACTTCCCCCAAACTATTCTGCTCAAGCATCAGAACTGAAAGCCCCAACAGAGGCATGCAAGTATGCAAAAGGCAAAACAGCTAACGTTTACAGACAGTCGACTAAAGAGGAAATTATGGAAATCTACAGGGAAGCCCATTGCACATCACAAGCTAGTGGCTGATCTACTGGAAGCTGTACAAAGCTCATACTAAAAACACTGATCATGTGTCTCTAATGCCAAGGCAGCAAAACACATAAAAAAAGTAATATCATTCACCCCACAGCTTACAATAACACCACATGCAGACTTACAGGATCTGCAAGGCAGAGCAACACCAGAGGAAAAAACGTTTTGGAGGAAGGCACAAGCCTACTTCAAAAACAGGGTTTAGTACGGCCCAAATGGCAAACTACGTCTGCCTAAATATCTGTTTCCTGTTGAAACAAGTGAAAAACCACGTGCAAAGTGGGAAATGCTGTTGGACATAAACAGCTATTGGTTTACAGAGGGATTGTAAAATTACTCAAAACACTTTTTGTAAGTGTGGCCCTTAGAACCAGAACTACCTTGTGTCTTGTTGCTGTGCTCAGTCTTGCCATGGTTTATGACTTTTGACAGTAAACTGTCTTCAGCAGCATCACCTTGTTAGCCGAGTATTGGCTGTTCCTCACCCAGTTGTATTCCTCCTACACAGCTGTTTCTGTGTCACTTAATGATTGTGTTTCACCTACATACTGAAGTGGTCATCATTAGCACGTTTTGGTATAATTGTTTAATCATACACCTGACCATATGCCTATAAAATCCCTGACTTTGTGCAAGTGTACCTAGAAGAATTTATGCTGGTTTTAAGGCAAAGGGTGGTTGATTTAGGTTTTTCCTTCAATCAACTCACTTTGTATTTTGTTAATTGATAAATATAATCTATTAATATGTCTATTTTTGAAAGCAATCTTACTTTACAGCATTTTCCCCACACCTGCCTTAAACATTTCCACAGTAATGTATTTCTTGTAGATTATATGTGAACTGTCAGAAAGCCATGTGGTGGCAATTCTGTTGAAACCAGTGTGAAGAAATGTCCTTCTGTAAGGTTATTCAGCATCTATTGACGGACTCACAGCAACTCACATACATCAGAGTAAATGAGCGAAAATAATATCAGCGTGTCTGTTTTCTTGCCTGAGTATCATAGTCACACATTGTCTCTGAGTTCTGATGTATAGTTGGATAGCAATGTGGTGTGATGAGAGACTATTTGACCTTGGCTACCCTCATCATTCTGAGCACTTGCAAAAGTGAAGAAACAGGGATCTTCCCTAGCGTTCTTGAAAATAGTTTGGTGAGGTTTTATCATGGTGAGTCCAAAAGGTCATATAGGTTAGGATAAATGTCCAGCTCAGCCACATGTGAATGTTTCACATTTGAAAAAAAACTTGCTTATTTAATGTGAATTATCACATGTAAAATGCTGTTTTTTAATTATCTTTGTCGCATTCTGGATCTTTGTTGTACTGGGTCACTATGCCAACGGGTGCATGGGTATTGTTTACCTACGCGACTACCTGATAGCGCTCTCTAAACCCGCACTACCCAAATCCCAGAACAGTTGAAGAGGAGAATGTAAGGTGAATGAGAAGGACGAGCTTGCGGCACTGATGAGGACACAGCAGGAATATAGGGAATGCAGAGACATGGCTGCAGGAACATATTCCAGACTTCAGTTCCACCATTGCAGGCTTTCAGACTGTACGAGCGGACAGAGCCTGCATGCTGACAAGTCTCTAAGATCCTCGTTATAAGAATCACTCATTGTTCTCTGGCACTATATTGACCAAAGCCAAAGAATAGCTGAAAGAGGATGTGGAAGGTGCTACACAAGAGACCAGTCAAGAAGAGCCTGCTACTGTTAAGTTTCTTTGCTCTCCACCCTCCTTCGAGTGAGCGCATCTTCAGTGAAGTGTCTGCAATTTATAAGAGAAACAGAAGCCGTCTCCTTGGAGAGCATGCTGAGCAACTCTGCTTTCTGCACCACAGTTTGGGATTACTAAATGAGACTCATATTTCAGTTTTACTAGTTTTATTTATTTTTACTTTAAAAACTAAGGGGGGCTATTTTGTTAATTTATTCGTTTATAAGAAATGCAGCTGGGAGCTCCCTGCACTTTTTGTAAGATAATGTAGAAACATACGCTTAATTAAAGGCAACGCGTTTCGCCCATTGCTTCTTCTGGCTCACGCAATGAAATTACAAAAACATTTACAGGTGTGCTAAATAGACACTACACTGTTTTCTATGACATTTTTCTTGTGAAATTCTTGCGAGTTTTATTTATTGCCACATGGTATTTCTTTTCATATTTATGCTGATGACACACAAATGTACTTGCCTGCCAGATCCACAGACCCTGGAATGCTGAGTTCACTTAACAACTGCCTTTGTGAAGTTAAAAAATGGATGTCAAATAATTTCCTCCAGCTGAACTCAGACAAAACAGAAATCCTGGTCATTGGGTCCCAGCAGATTGCCATCTGCTGGTTCCCTAGTAAATCACATTAAGCCTGTTGCAAAGAACCTTGGTGTTTGGTTTGATAGTAATTTAAATTTCGAGCAGCACACCACAAAGCTTGTTCAATCATGTTTCTCAACTTAGAAATATAGCAAAAATTTGATCTATGTTAACTTTTAAGGACACCGAGACCATTTTACACGCCTTCATCTCATCACGCCTGGATTATTGCAACAGCCTTTTCACCTGTTTAACCCAAAAATCTACTGATTGACTCCAGACTGTCCAGAACTCAGCTGCCAGGCTTTTAACCAGAACAAAGAAATATGACCACATCACCCCCTATTTTAGCTTCATTACACTGGCTCCCAGTATGTTTTAGAATTGACTTTAAAATTCTATTGATTACTTTTAAAGCTCTTCATGGCCTCTCTCCTTGTTATATTTCTGACCTTTTAGTCCCATACACACCAGCACGTACCTTGAGATCCTCGGGCAGAGGTCTGTTGTCTGTTCCAGAGTCTCGACTGAAAACTAAAGGGGACAGAGCGTTTGCTGTCAGGGCCCCGAGGCTCTGGAACAGCCTGCCCGAGGAAATCAGGTCGGCTGAGTCAGTGAACTCTTTTAAGTCCCTTCTTAAAATATACTTTTATAGGAGAACCTTTCCTGATCTTATTTGACTTTATTTTATCCCTTTTATTTTATTGTGTTTTACTAGTTTTATATTCATCTTAAACATATATTTTAGTCTTTTCAATGTTTTCATGCTTTTATCTTGTATTGTTTTTGTATTATTGTCTTTTGGGTATTATTGTCTTTACACTTGTTAAAGCACTTTGTAACTTGTTTTTGAAAAGTGCTCTACAAATAAAGATTATTTCAAAAACTCAGGCGCAGACCAGAGGAGGTGCAATGAGAGAATTTATTTAACACAAGTGAGAACAGAGAAGTAGCTCGGGGGAGCGGTCGTTACGAGGGTCATGATGTCCAAGCTACGAAGCTCAGAGGGTTCCGTGTCACAGGAGTGAATCCGAGTCCGTGAACTGGCAGGCATTCTGTGGTCGAGACAGAGAGAAAACAAGTTAGCATTCAGCACAAGGGTACAGACTAGATGCTGGTAGTCCAGGACAGAAAACGGTCTGGCATGTTCATACTGTATGGTACAACAATCCGGCAGGGACTGGAAGGTTGACCTGGTCTTTAAAGGTGAGTTGATTGCAGGATGAGACATGTGCTAATTAACAGGATGCGTTGCAGGTGAGTTGACATGAGCTCCGGTGACCACGCCCACCGGCAGCCCCAGAGCATGAGGGAGGAAGCAGAACACAGAGACAGACAAAAAACCAAAACACACCAAGCACACCGCAAACATACCAAAGGGAAAAAGAACTCAAAAACTACAATCACACACCAACAGGCAGGTCAGGGTCACGACCAGGGGTTCGTGACACATAAGACATGAATGATCGTAGGGTGTAATATTCTAAAATCCTGTCAAGAGGATTCAAGCATTCTACTGCATCTACAGTTATTAAGTGCAGCCCACAATTAGCCCCCCCCCCCCCCCCCCCCCCCCTACATTTCTTACCATATTTTAGTCTGTTAATAAAACAGTAGGCTAGGTTGAGATGTGAAAAAGTTCATTCTGGTGCCACTGGGAGGAACTAACTACTACTGGAATGATACAGAGATACTGAGCAGCTGGATGGAGTAGGGGGGATGTGGTTCTGTTCATACTCTAACACAAAACACCAATGTTAAAATCTGAAACCTCTTTGAAAAACATTACACAATTACCTTGGTTACACACAACACAGGATATCAAAGAACTGACTTTTGTTCTTACTTCATAACTGATGCAACTTGAAATGTAGCAAAGTACTAAAAAAAACATATAAATATACAAAAATTACCTTGCAATTTGTTAGGTCCAACGAGCAAGGACATACATGTATGATCATCTAAATTCATGAATTTGTTCAGTGACAAATGCTGAAGCTGGATAGAGTATAGAATGAGGAAAATAAAAACAAACATCAATCACACATGTTCTGGATGCATGGGAGTGACAATGTATTTTAGTTGAATTTTCCAGTTTAATTAGTCATGTACAAACTACAAACTTTTACTAGCTACCTTTCAAATCTACCTAGCTGATAAATATACAAAAACAAAATTTGTATAAGTACATTCAATTTGAAATGCAGGACCTTCCGTTTTAATGCAGATTTCAGATAGACTTAATAAAGAAATTGCAGTATATTTCCAATTATATTGATAATGATCCAGAAGAATGGAGAATTACACAAACCAGCGTGTCAGTGATCTCAGTCTGTCAATTAAGTTCTACCTTTCTGTCTGTCAGCCTGTCAGTCTTTGTTCCCTGCACCCCCACCACAATGCCAAATAAACTGTCCCACTCACTCATTCACTGACTATGGGCACCCCTCTGACAATTTATCAAGTTTCAGACAAGCAGCTTGCCAGGCAGGCGGTGGAGCTGATGAAAAACAAGGTGTTATATATAAAGCTCTGGAAAGTGGGTCAGCCTGCTCCTGAACACAGAGGTTAGTGCATCTGATGGTCCACGCTGGTAGGCCTCATAATTAATGAATCTGTCCGCTTAAAGCTCTGTGAGAGATTTATACAGCACAATAATCCTTCTATAAATGATCCAGCGCTTTACCTAAACCTCACACATTACAGCACACAAAACTACTGCACAGTTTTTCATAATCAGTCAACTCAGCTTCAGCGAAATGTCCATTGGAAGTACATAGATGTTGCAGCAATGTGTGATTTGCAGGGTAATATCATCAAGATCTATTTGTTTTATTAGCCCCAAAATACAGAGCTAAGTTAAAGTGTCTTAAACATGTAGATGTAATGTAAACTACATGTGCTGCTGTGTGCTGCACATGGGAAATAATGTTTACTGTGTTGAGAGATGGGGACTCGAGTTTTTGACTCATGTCGTGACTTGAGACTCGGACTTGAGATGTGGGATTTGTGAACAATCTTTTTATTTTTTTCAGCATTAACATTAAGGAAATGTCTGAATGTCATTCCTGCCGTTATTATTAGAATGCGTAACCTTATGCTTCTTGTGCACTCAGCTACAGATGACCGTAAAGCTACAACAACAACAACAACAACAACACCATGGATAGCACATCTGCAGCTGTTGTGCTATAACCTTTGGCTATCCTTACTGTGAAGGAAATTCTTGTGAGCTAGTTATTGATGACGAAGGCTTTAGTTCAGAGACAGCAGTACAGAGTGAGAACAGAGTGTAGTACCAAAGGATAGAAGGATACCTCCTGTTGGGGATATTTATCCTTCCTAAAAGATACTGTTCCCCCTCTACATGTGTGTAATGATTCTGTTGGATATTGGATCAAAATAAGACACTATGCTTACCTAAGCTAACCTAAGTCATCCAAGTCACATGCAACACTTTGTACATTCAGCCAGTGAGTCTGTCTGTAACGAAACAAAATAATCTTGACCTTGGGTTACCCAGGAGATGGACCACAGCGTGCATCCTCATCAAAGTAGCTGTGTCAGACAGTCACAGGCCTGTGTCACCTTCAGCTTAAACTGATTTCTGACAGTTATAAAAGGGAGTTACAGTAGTCGAGGGGAGAGGAGCTAAAAGCTTGGATGAGTTTCTCCAGATCTGTGGCATAAAATAAAATACTTAACCTTGGCTGTATTTCTCAAATGATAAAAACAAAACAACTTTCCTTACATGGGGTTAACAAAACGAGTCCTAATCAAAACCTACCCCAAGATTTCTGGCCGAGGGCTTAACATAAGTTGCTGGTTTGCATGATGATGATGATGATGATTTCTGTATGCTGTGGGACCAAGTACAATGTCAGATTTTGTAAGGTTTAATTGTATATATTTTTTTCACAACTTACATTAGATTATGAAAGGGAAGAGAGGGAAGGTAAGTAGGGTTTGATTCTGATCAGTGGGAATGGTAATAGTTTCTGGGTTCAAGGTTTGCTTCACCATAATTTTAGTAATCTTTCTTAAACACTTAAACTCTTTAATAACAGCCGATACTCAGGCTCATACCATCAATTTTACTATTCAGACTCACATAAAGGCTCTTTCCAAAAGGACAGCAAATAACAGAAGACTGATGGGCTGGCCAAAAATAACAAAAGGCAGGGATCCCTTCCAGACTAACCCACAAACGATCATAGGATCTGGGTTATCCCCTCTAAAATGAGCTAACCTTTGAACTAAACAGAATTAACAGAAATAAAGCCGCTAAAAGTGGACTACCGGACCCATCAAAACAAAGTGTGACAGCCCCTCTGCAGGGTTCACACTGCTGTTGGTGTGCTTTCTGTCTCCAGGGCTGCAGACCTGATTGGCAGGGTAATCAGCGGCATGGGACACAGCTGGGCCCAGTGTGCCCCATGCATATAAGCCAGAGCAGCAGTCAGTCTTGGGTTAACTGCCTCATCTCATAACCTACCTATGTTTGGTTTCTTGTTGTTTTTACAGCACAACAGCCATGCAGCACTTTCTCACTCAAACACTACTGACTTTACAGTTTCTTCACATTCATTGGTTTCGCTTATTTTCTTATTAATAAGTCACTTTGTTATTTAGTTTACCTGTGTGTCTCCCTTTTTTTGTCCAGTCCATGAGCCGGGCTGTGACAAATGGGGGCTCGTCCAATGCGATCTGTTTCTTTTGGCCTTTGTAATGTTTCTGGTAACTTGGAGTAGTGCAATTTGTCCACTCTTTCCCCCTGTCTTCTCAGGAAGACTTGGTAAGGTATCAAGGAAAGCTGCGGCTTGGTAGGTGGAGTTTGTGATTAGGGACTGAAATGTGTAATTAGTGGAACTTGTCTCTGGTGTGTTGGTACCACATGTCCACAGTACAGTAGAATAGTAAATTGCATTAAGTGCTACAGGAAATCTATTTTGAAGGATAACTTGTTTGAGGATGGCGTTTTCAAGGGCACTGTGCATCCTTTTGATTCTACCTCTGGTCTTTGCTAAAATCCTGGCTTTATTTTTGATCAGCAAAAAGAACTGTTTTTGGACGGCTGAGAAAATGAGACAGAACTTAAAACACTTGAGCTAGAACAGTATAAGCTAATCTCCCGTATTTGTCACAGCCCGGCTCATGGACTGAACAAAAACGGGAGACACAGGGGAAAACTAAATAACAAGATGATTAAGAAAATAAGTGAAACCAATGAGTGTGAAGAATCTGTAAAGTCAGTAGTGTAGGGACTGTCCAGTCGCTCCATGATCCAAAATGGCGGGCAGGCCCGCGAAGCTAAAACAAAGGGTTAGGAACCAAAATTGGGTACACGCTCTATCTGCCCTCACAGAGATGGCATGGAGCACAACTTGAGTACCGTGCTATCTGTGGGTTCCAGATGGATGTGTGTAATTTGTGTAGAGTGTGTGTGAGAAAAGGCACAGAGACAAAGGTACATAAGATCCTGGTTGCCACAGCAAGACAAACCACTTTATCACACCAGAACCCCAATCGTCTTCTTTTAACATATTAACAGACCCTTACAACAGTGGTTCCACTGTTGTAAGGGTCTGTTGTACTTCTACTGTGCATGCACGGAAGTGGTGACGCATACGTAGTAGAAGTATAACCGGTCGGGAAAAATGCTTTTTAAACTTTTCAGCGATTTTTATCAGATTTGAATGCTGATTCTATTCATGTAGTTTTTATGTCCCAATGACCAGTAAAAGTACAGTTCTGGCTCTCTCCCCATTCATTCAGAGAGCCTGGTCTTGTTAGTCCGAAATAGCAGCCCAGAGGCGTTGCCAAGATGGTGCCCGAGTGGCATGACTGCCTATAAGGACTTTGGTAGCAGCCTGGTAACATGCGAGAGGGGGGCTTAAAGAGACAAGAGCATCTACAGCTTGTTTCAGACAGAGGCTGAAATGAAGGCCTACATGAACAAACCAGTACATGAAGAACCAGTATAAGACTTATTGTATTGAACTTTGAATCGTGCAAAGCTGCCATACAGGAGTCACAGAACTAAAATATAGGACTGGAAATGCAGTATAATAGGTCTCCTTTAAAGGTTGTGAGGTTGTCCCAGAAGAAAGTTGTCTGGGGCACTGAAAGTGATTTTTTAAGATACATTTTGAACAGCAACCATTGTGCTTTGATTTAAATAAATAGAGCTATAGGAGCTTCATCTACAGAAACCACAGGAAAGAATAAGACAGTATCACTCACACTGTTTCACAGTACACTGTAAAAAAGGATTGGATCAATAAGTTAAAGTAACTTCTTTCTATAATTTACCTCCACTTAACATAAAAAAATTTACGTAATTTAATGAGTTATCACTATTCCAGCTCAGGGTCGTAAGCCAGTTCAGTGAAATGTGTGTGTGTGTGTGTGTGTGTGTGTGTGTGTGTGTGTGACTTGATAAAACGCAGTTATTTGCTGTGTTCTGCGGCAGGACACAATATTACCACTTTGTCACAAAGAGAGGAGAGACAGAGTTTGAATTATTTGGGAGCGTCACAGGCTACCACCTTTGACTTACTTTATCTCAGCCAATAATCCTAACTTGACTTGACACCCGTGCGATACTATCCTTGAAGCAATATTATGTTAATTCACTGCTATCGATCACAAACTAGTAAGTCGAAAACTTTGCTAACACAGCTAAACATCATGCTAGTGTGACAACTCAGGACTTAGTGCTGTCCCCAACAACAGATTTACATAGCCCAATCAGAATTTTCAAGTCTTGCCTGTGGTCGACTGATCGTCGAAGCGTGTGTGTGTGTGTGTGTGTCACTGTAAATTACACTGTACATTCCAGATAAACTGAGGCTTATGGGGTGGTGGTGGTGAAAGTATTATAGTAACATAACGAGTAGTGATCAAAATATTATTTAATATTACAAGTGCACTGAGCTGCTCTGGGTGCGAGACGCACTCATTCTTGGCAGCAAAAATTGCCATGCTTCTCCTCCCACTGGGGTGCATGGCGAGTCACCATAGCAAAATAATAAAACATGCAGACCATAAAATATTATAATGGAGTTTGGTTTAATGAAGATCTTAAGCTTTATAACTTAACTTTTCAAGACACAGCTTTTCACAGTAGTTTGAAAAGCTGTGTCTTGATTTCTTAGCAGCTTTAATCACTATTCCAGCTGAAACACTGTGTTCAGCACACAAAGATTTCAAGCAGGTTGGTCAGGCTTCTGTGGTCGGCTAATTACCTAATTTGGTTATAATTACAGCTGCCACAAATTAGCTAAGTGCAAATCTAGTGTCAAAAGCTAGAATTTGTGTTCGTACACCCCATTTGTTTCTCATCCCTTTCAGCCATTGACCTGCCGCTTCCCAGAACTGCATGGTTGGATGGATCGACTTAAAGGGACTGTTAAAGATAAGTAGGATAGGATTGTTGCAGTGCCTGCTAGGTCACCTTAGCCATTTAAACCATGTTAAACAAAGGGAAAGAGGTGGAAGCCAAGGTCATGGCTTTTGCTAAGTTTAGACAGGGGGCACAGGCTGATAATGTTCCTTCAAGGCTTATGTGAAATCCCTTGTGTAAAATAACAGTGGAAGACAGCAATGAAGAAAATCCTCAAAGCTCTCTTCTCTGAGGAGCTTGTTTCCTGTCTCCTATGCTGTTACGTGATTTGTTAATCGTTAGTCGCTTTCTCTGGAGTCTGAAAGAGAGGCTGTGGGAGCCCCAATATCAAGAATAAAGCACAGTCTAAAACATGACATTGGTGCGCTCTCTCCAGCCTCCCAGTGATTGTGTCTGATTATGTGTTTGTGCCAAGGGCTGGCGTTACTGTCAGATACTCAACAGGTAAATAAGTGCTGAACCAGGCACACACAACCACAACCACCCAAACCGGATCATTTAAGCTAATAATCTGAAATTTTATGTATAGTAATGCTGATTTATGTAATGTACGTATACATCACTATAATAGAAATTCAACATAGTATATATACACTTCAGTTAAGCTTTTACATTAGTGTTTTTTTTAAAGGTTATGAGGTTGTCAAGGGAAAAAAATTGTCTGGGGCACTGAAAGTGATTTTTAAAAATACATTTTTAACAGCAACTATTGTGCTTTGATTTGAATAAATAGAAAAAGAACTAGGAAAGCTATAACAGCTTCACCTACAGAGACTCCAGAAAAGAATAAGATCACTCACATTGTTTCACAGTAACCACAGCAATGCATGCTCAATAGTAATTTTATTTATAAAGCTCTTTTCAAAATAGTTACAAAATGGTTAACATGGGGAAATCAAGAAAAAACAATTCAATACAGCCACAACTACAGAGAAGAAAACTGAGTGAAATAACCAACAACACCATAATATAAATTTAAGATAAAAAGGGTTAAATATTAAACAAAACAGATGTTGTGTTTAGTGTTTTTAACAATGTAACATTTAGGTAAGTTGTGGAATCTCACCTAGAGATTCCATTCAATATCCGTTGTGTGTCATGGTTTGGGGGTTTTGATGTTTGGTTTGTCTTTTGGTTATGGTGTTTAGTCTTCCCTGTGGTGCCTTTTAGGTTTCAATTCCCATATATTTGTGTGGTCTCGTCTCTCTGTTGTATTTTCTCTCTATTGTATTTTCCTTATGTCATTTGTTCCTTCATTCTGTTTCCTGTCTTACTTTGAAAGTGTGTTTCCTTGTGTTTTTTTTTTAACTGACTTTATTGAAAATGTCAGCACAAACATACAACATATAAAGACATACAACATTTCATTCTCCAGAGGTACAAAAATAATTTAATATTCATTAAGGCTTTCTGATTTAAAAAGTCCAGGTTAAAGCACCAAACTGAGTTCTTGAGTTCCAATATCAGTCACTTCCATGAGGTCACAAGTGTTGAATATAGTTGTACAGTCCTTTTGAGCTGTGCAGTTTTTTGAATATTTTATGGATCCATATATGCTTGTTCACTCAAAGACAGCTAAGAATGGTTTAGAACCAGTCAATTTACATTTGTGGACATGGTATTTGGCAAGTAAGAATAACAGAAAACATTTTTCTCTGCAGCTTTACAGAAGGAACACTCAGTTTCAATATTCAATTTAAATCTTTTAAAGAAAGATTTTGCTGGGTAGAGCCGGCAAATCAATTTAACCCTTGTGTTATCTTCGGGTCAAATTTGACCCGTTTTGAAATTCTTTTGTATGAAAAATATGGTTTTATTTCATAAAATTACACCAAAATAACATGGATGCTTCCACACTACGCTCTAAACAAACAAACAAAATGATCACTACTTTCACTGAATTGTGGGTATTTTATTCAAATGTGTTCCATATTTGGTCTTCCCGGGTCAGATTTGACCCGGTGTTGCAAAAGGGTCAATAAGTCACGGTGTTTTGGTTTTCAGCAGATGAAATCCCCCCCCCACACACACACACACACCCACACACATACACACATACACACACCCACATCCCACACCCACCCACGGTAAATGCTCCGTAGTTGTATAGCGCCTTTCTAGTCTTTTCGACCACTCAAAGCGCTTTTACACTACATCTGCATTCACCAGTCACTCACATTCATACACTGAGCCTAAGTGCTGAAACGGAAACTAACATTCACACACATTCATACACTGGCGGAACAGCCACCAGGGGAAATTCGGGGTTCAGTATCTTGCCCAAGGACACTTCGACACGCAACCAGGGGGAGCCGGGGATGGTACCACCGACCTTCCGATTAACGGCCAACCCGCTCTACCTCCTGAGCCACAGCCAAGAAATCCAGACAGATGGACCCTCTACCTCCGCAGCAGCTTCTACTAACCCAGCTGCAGCCACAAGGAAGAGGTGCCGATTCTGCACTGGCAAGAGTGATCTCAAAACCTGCATCAGGTGCCAAAATTGCATGGCAAACATTTGCAAAAAACATGCCATTACCACCACACACTGCCTATCATGCAAATGATAGCACATTCACACAGAGACACACACCTGCACTTACACATGTAAGTAATAAACATGTATATTATACAAGTTTTGAAATGTTGAAGTTTTAGAAATAAATGTTGACTGTTCTATGTAAATGAATTTATTTAGCTCTTTATTTACTCTGGTATTTGTGAATAAAATTCCATCAAATGTTGACCTAGGAATATATATCAGTCTGTGATTATCCAAAATATATATAATAATTTCTGCTGGTTTCCTAAAAAAATTTAAAATTTAATGTAAATGAGGTTTATTGAAGTGTAAAATGAATTGGTGATGAGCTGGAATAAAGTTTGCTGACATTGTGTAACACAGAATTGGGTGATCATTTTTTACATTATGCTTTAGAAACAAGCAAACCAGACCGGGTCAGTTTTGACCCATAAGGACAACAGGTGTGTATATGTGCTACCTTTAAAAATAATGCAATGCTTCTAAAACAGTATCCTGACTCAACTTTGACAAATACCAGTCTGTGATAGTCCATCAACTTATAGTCCTCTGATTTATACTATTAGTCAAGATAACTTAGAGTTTCTGCATTTTTTAACTAAAAAATAAGATAAATGAGATTGATTGACCATGAATTCCAAGAAGAAGTGTAGAACTAGTGGTAATGAGTTAGAATGGAGTTGGCTAAGAAGGTGTAACACAGA